CCTGTAATCCCAGTGCTTGGGAGGCTGAAAACAGGAGGATCACTACAAGTACAATCTGTGCAGTGAGACCCTTTAGACCCTGTACTAAATACATTAAAAAAAGAAAAATAACAAAATGGACAAATCCATAGCAAATCTTACAAAAAATGGAAAGACCCAAATCAATGCAATCAGAAATTTAAAAAGTGAAATCACTTCTGAAATCTAGATATTAGTAACTACTTCAAAAATCTGTACTCCAATAAATTTGAGAATTCAGAAGAAATGGACAGATTCCTAGATATATATATGAATTACCCAAATTGAACCATGAAGATATTAATATCTTGAATAGTATAATGACAAGCAATGAAGCTGAAGCAGTGCTAAAAATTCCACCAAGAAGAGTACAGCACCCATGGATTCACTGCTGAATTCTACAAGAATTTCAGGGATGGTCTAATGCCAATGTTCCTCACACTTTTTAATGAAAAGGAAGCAGTACTTTCAGAGCCATTCTTTGAATTCAGCATTGCCCTGAGGGTAACCAGATGAGAGTCCAACCAAAAAAAGGGTACTCTGAGCCAGGTGTGGGGGGACACACTTGTAATCCTAGCACTTGAGAGGCTGAGGCAGGAGGATCTCTGTGAGCTCAAGGCCAGCCTGAACTGCATAGTGAAACTTTGACTCAAGAAGAGAAGAGAAGAGAAGAGAAGAGAAGAGAAGAGAAGAGAAGACAAGAGAAGACAAGAGAAGACAAGAGAAGACAAGAGAAGACAAGAGAAGACAAGAGAAGACAAGAGAGAGAGAGAGAGAGAGAGAGAGAGAGAGACCTACTACTCGCCAATTTCTTTACTAAATTATAAATCCTCAACTAGATGTTAGCATCTGAGTAACGTCTTTGAAGATAAGAATGTGAAATATAATAATCATTGTTAATTTCCTATTATCTTGTTTTGAAATTCTGTATTGCTTTTACTGAGTTTTTTCATTTTCCCCCTCTCTTTAAAATAAATAAGTAAAGGACCAGTCAAATACCTCAACAGATTAAAGTGCCTGCTTAGATAGACACAGGGGTTGGGAATTTGATTCCTCAACCTGCAGTGCCAGCCCCGCCCCCAGGGTGCGCTGAGACTGCGATTGAGACTGGGCATGGTGGCACGAGCCTGTAACCTCAGCACTTGGGAGGCTATAAACAGGTGAATCACTACAAGTCCAATCTATACAGCGAGACCCTATACACCCTGTACACCTTGTCCTAAATACAAAATAAAATAAAATAATAAAGATAAAATAAAGTACTGGCAAGCAAAATGCTACAAATTATAAAATAAAAATCATAGATCATCACCAAGTAGATTTTTTTCCCAACAATGTAGGAGGAATGAATCAATATACAGAAATCAATGAATTTAATATATTCTGTAAACAGAAGCAAGGACAAAAATCACATGATCATGTCCATAAATGCAAGAAAAGTCTTTGACAAAATGCAGCATCCTTTCAGGATAAAAAGCCTGAAGAAAATAAGTATAGAGGGGCCATATCTCAATCTGATAAAAGCCACTTACGACAAATCTATGGCCAATGTCATATCATAAATGTGGGAAGACTGAAAGCTTCCCTCTAAAGTCAGGAATAATACAAGGAGATCCATTTTCACCATTGCTATCTAGTATACTACTTGAAACATTGACCAGAGCATTTGGGCAAGATAAAGAAATAGAAGCAATAGTATAGGAGGGGAAGAAGTCAAGTCATCATTATTTGCACATGAATGATCTTTTACATAGAAAGCCTCCCAAAATTCCACCAGTAGATTCCCAGAATTAATAACCAGACTCAGTATTGGAGCAGGCAACAAAGCCAACAAATAAAAAACTATAGCACTCCTCTACACCAATAATGAATTCACTGCAAAAGAAATTAAGGAAATAGTAACATTACCAATAGCACAAAAATTTTACATACTTAGAAATTAACCTAACTGAGGAAATGGAAGATTTCTACAGTACTCTACAGTACTCTTAAAAAGTAGATCAAGAGGTCATCAGAAGATGGAAAGATATTCCCTGTTCCTGGAGAGGCTAAACCAGTGGTCAACATTGTATAGTCAAAATGGCCATACTTTCAAAACTGATACACAGATTTAATGCGCTCTCAATCAAAATTCAACAGCATTTCTCATAGAACTGGAGAAAACAATCCTACAATTCAAATGGAACCAGAAGAGGTCCAGAATAGCAAACACAACTCTAGGTAACAAGAGTAAAATGGGAGGCATCATAATCCTGAACTTGAAATCATATTACAAAGACACAGTGATAAAAACAGCATAGTACTGGCACAAAAACAGACATGTGCCAGTGGGAACAGAGTAGAAAGTACAGAGGCTCTCTGATCTTTGACAAAGAAGTCAAAAACATACACTGAAGGAAAACAGCCTCTTTAATATATGGTGCTGTTAAAACTGCCTACCCACATGCAGAAGATCAAGTCTAGATCCATATTTCTCACCACATGCTAAGTTAAAATCAAAATGGACCTAAATGTTAAAACAGAAACATTTAATCTGCTGAAAGACAAAAATAGGTAAAATTTAAAGACACAGGCATAAGCTTGGACTTTGTAGACAGAACTTAATAGCACAAGAAATAGCATCAAGAGCCAACAATGGCATCAAATCAGCTTAAAAAGCTTCTCCTCAACAAAGGAAACAAGCAACAGAGCAGAGAGACAACCTACAAAATGGGAAAATATTTTTACTATCTATTCTTAGGGGACTAATATTAGAAAATATGTGAAGAACTAAAACAATCAAAGCCTCCAAAATAAAAGAACAAGTCAAAAAGTGGGCAACTGAAACAGACAGACCATTCTCAGAAGTACTGATGGCAAATAAATGCATGAAAATGTTCATCATCTTTGGCCATTAAAGAAATGAAAATTAAAAAAACCTAAGAGTCTATCATATTCCAGAGTGAATGGCCATCTTCAGAAAACCAAACAACAAAAATGCTGGTGAGGTGTGGAGGCAAAGGAATCTTCTCCATTGTGGGTGGGAATGTAGACTAATACAACCACTATGAAAATTGGTGTGGAGATTCCTCAAAAAGCTAAAACAATAAATTTTATTCAACCCAGCTGTCCCTCCTTCAGATATCTGCACATTACCAGCTCCACACAAGGAATGTAATCATTATGCAGTACAAACATGTAATAAAAACACAAATTGAGAAAAACCAAATTAGTTATCAAAAAACATTCTACAAAGAAAAGCCCAGAACCAGCTAGTTTCAGCATTGAATTCTACCTAACGCTGAAAAAAAATTAATCTTCCAATCCTTGACAGTCTTCCAAAAACTAGAAAAGAACACCTTCCAACCCTTCTATGAAACCAGTATTATCCTGACACCAAAATCAGACATAGACATCAAAAGAAAGCCACAGGTTGACCTCCCCCATGAATAGACACATAAAAATCCTAGCAAACCCAACTTAGCATTGTGTGTAAGACAAGGCAAGCACATTCAGATCAGCCTCCTGATCTAGAGGAGCTTAGACAGAGCACAGCCATGAAGATGATACTGACCAGACAGAGCCTGAGGTCCAAGAGCCCAAATGGAAAGCAGGCAGGGCAGCTCAGGTCACAGTGTCCAGGAAGAGAAAATGTCCTTCTCGTGACCATGTTTCCTTCTCAGCCCACCTAAAGGAGATTCAGGAATCCAGCTTCCTTTCCTTAGATGCATGCTGGTCCTCATCTTTGACACCTGCTTCTGAGGCCCAGCTCACCTACCCAGAAAGGGAAAAGTGGGGAGTTCCATACATCCAGCTGGCAGCCAGTCTGGCATGACAACAGCAGAGCAGCTAAACGTCAATGGGCAGCAGGGGAACCAACTGCTGGTGATGCCTTTCTCAGGACACTCTGAGCCTTTCCTGCTGGACTGGATATGTTTCAGATGTATTTGGATTTTGAAACATTTGAATAGATATTGTGTGCTGAGCATCCCAAAGTGAAAATCTGAAATTAGAAATCCTCCAAAAATTGGAAACTTTTGAAACTATATTTGAAACATTTTAAATGTTGGAACATTTTGGATTTCAGAGTTCTATGCTAGGGATGGTCAAACTATATTATGCTGAAAGATCTTTCTTGGGTAAAGGCAAGTGACTGACAACCCACCCACCTTTCTAGCATCTATCCTAGAGGCATGCACACACACACACACACACACACACACACACACACACACACACACGCTTTGGGCTGTTAGAGAATCAGACAGACCTGTACTCAAATGCCCCAGCTTCCAGGAGACTCTCATAGTCTTTAGACAAATTCCCTTTGTAAATAGTTTTTTCAACCACTCATCACCTTTCATGGGATCATAAAAGCTTTTTCCAGTCCAAAAAATGCTTACAAAGAACTGCTTCTTAATGCCTGCACTTTGTGTCCTCAGCATTAAGTCACTGTCCCCACATGTTGGCAGAATAAGCCTTAGAATTCTTCCCGGCTTGCTGGCTTCCCAAGTGCCCTCATCCATGCTGATGAGGCAGCTCCTCATTGATATTCTCCTTCTCGGACAGTGGCCACACAAGGACTCTCAACCTCCCTGTAAGGTCACCAAGCCACCCAGTGTGTCTGATGTATCTGTGAGCAACAGCTCCATTAAAAAGGGCTTGCTTCTAGCGAAGTCCCTTGGCACACACAAAATGCTTCTCTTTGGCACCAAAGTACCTGGGATCTAGGGTTCATGGCTGCCACCTGGGCTGCAGCCATGCTGGGCACACTTCTGCTGGAAAGGCAGCAACGTGGCCCTGGTCCAACCAGGAACCCATGAGGTAGGAGTTGAGGACAGGAGCCCTGGGCTCTGGACTTCGGCTTGGCTCTGCCTCTGAGTATCCCTCAAGCCCAGCCTGCTCCTCCATGACATGTGACACACCAGGTAAAACAAGGAAAGAGAGGATAAGATGGGGGAGAGCACAGGCAGCCAAGCATGTTCCTGCACTGGTGGCCTCACCTGTCCAAACACATACAGCAGTCCTATGGTGCCTCCCATCTGCCCGCCGAGGACGGAAGAGATCATGGAGTAGACGCCGCCACTGCCCATGCCACTGTGCTCCCCGATGCCGATGCCAGACATGACGGTGATCAGGGCCACTGTGACAACGGAAGACACCAGAACCATGCCCATGAGCACGCCTGTGTTTCCCTGCAGCAGAACAGCAAGGAGCAGTCAGGTTAGGGGCAGAGTTGGGCCAGGGTGTGGGCCTTGCTGGGAGCATTGACCAGCCCCCAACCCTGGACCTGTTGTACTGGAACTAGGGGATGGGGCTGGGGAGTGGCCAGGCCCCCCCAAAGGGACAACCAGAAGGATAAAGGAAGTGCCGCAAGAGTTAATCCCAGGGACTGTCCTTCAAATCCTCCAAGGACTTTACACTGCCTATGGGGTAAAATCGAAGCTGCTTAGTACATCTACATGACATCTTCTGATTGGTCCCTCTGTGTCCAAGCATGCAAGGATATGCTCTTTACCTGCCACTCTCTTACTCACGCTGGCCTCTGGCTTGGAATACCTTTCCTGCTCCTCCAGGTGTCGCAGGAACCCTTCCTCTGGGACCCTGCAGGACCCATAGCTTAGAGCTTGTCTCTATACTTCTCACACTCATTATCCCTCCAACCATGAACCCCAGGAGGGCAGAGTCCTCTTCTTGCCCTCATGTCTTAGCACAAGCTCCACATACACTAGGTACTCATTAAGTGCATGTTCAATGAATAAACACATACTTGCCTGGAGTGTCCCCACACAGACATTTCAAAGAGAAAATACAAGAGCCTCAGAGCAGCAATGGACATGTGCATACCACAGCCAGGAGATACAGCTCTGGAGAATTACCAGCCCAGGGCCAAGGAGTCTCCTAAAAGGCAAGACTCCAGCGAGGTGGATGTGGGAGAGAGGATTAGAGACAGTTGCCTGGCTTTCACTGAGCTGAACAGGCATGGGGAAGTATCGGGGCTCTGGCGCCCATTCCTAATACAGGAATCACAGCACCGCTGCTGCACTGGGGTGCAGAGTGAGGATGCAGGCCTCGGAGCTGGACAGCCTTAGGTTCTTCTCCCTATTGCCACCCTAGCACTACTGCTACCCTGTTCCTAGCCATTCCTGCTGATTCACAGAGATCCTCTGGGGGAATACTTGTATTTTAAGTCTTCTGTTACCCGTGATCTTCACATGAAATTATTTTGTTTTTCCTCCCTTGCTGCCAAGGAATATGCTATAAAACTTGCCCCACAGTACAGCCAGGAGGAGAATGGGCCTCTGCCCACTGCCCCCTCACAGGCCCTGGGGGAGAAAGTTCTGGGGACAGGCTGTTCATCTGGCTCCAGAGTCACCTGTAGGTGACACATGGCCAACTGCCGAGCTCACATGCAGGTGCAGGTGCAGGTGCAGGCCTGCGAGGAGTCACTGTTCTCCAGGTGCACCTTCTCCTTCCTGCACTATGCTTGTGCTTTCTTTCTTTTTGGTGGAGCCAGGGATTGGACTCAGGCTTTGCCAGGGAAGCACTTATTCTACTGAGCCATCTCCCCGGCCCTATGCCTGTGCTTTCTATCTCTGGTGATTGGTTTTGGGTTGAAGTACTGTGAGTGTCTTAATGGTCTCAAACATAAAACAGAATAGAAAGCATTCAGAGAGAGAGAGGGAAGCAGAAGGGGGGGAAAGAGAGACAGAGAGAGAGAGAGAGAGAGAGAGAGAGAGAGAGAGAGAGAGAGAGAGAGAGGATACAGAGTGCTGTGGTAATGTAGATGGTACCATGCAGATGTAGTCACTGTTACCCACACACAAGCTTGACACAGGGGGCCTCTGACCATGTGGTCCTGTGTGGAGATGAAGACTGAGGAGAGGGCTCTCCAGGGACTCTCAAGTCTAGAAAGGGACATGCATCTACAGAGCAGTCATGCACTGGATGCAAACTGTATGTGAAGAGGAAGCAGAATGGAAGGAAGACCTTCCTCAACCCTTGCTACCGAGACATCATCTCTTTGTAATCAGTTTCCTAATCAGTAAAATAGAGGTAACAATAATAATTACCTCAAAGGTTACCAGGAAATACTACATTTTAGGTCTATGTGTGATGCACTTGGGTCGCCAACAGTCATATAAGTGCTTGATAAACTTACCTGCCATATTCTTATTTTGCTGTATGTCATATGCTGGTGGCATGATTGTTTTACATATTACTATGAAGCTTATAAATAGTCCACCCACTCATCTTCATAATGGCTAGATGGGAGCATAAATATATCCATAGACTCCCTTCTAGAGAGTGCCAATGGTAGTGTGGGAATGCGGACAGAAACCCAGCGAGTCAGATGGCTAACACGGCTAAAGGGATGTCCAGTAGCATGACCATGCATGGCTCTAGTGGGAGACAGGTGCAGGAGGCAATAGACAGGTGCCCAGCTCTCCTCAACAATCTCCCAGCCACAGGCTCAGGGACACTGGTGCCCTCAGGCTATCTGTTTGTGGAGGTAGTATCTGGGCATGTGTTACTAATTTTGTGAATTTCACACTTTTCATGAAATTATATCATACCAATTTCTTCCTTTATTCTGACTTGCAAATTGTGTGTAAAAATAAATTATTGTATAGCTATAACATCATCAATTTTCATACCAGAATTGCCACTTAACCATTTTGTACATTATAAGTATACACCCAGTTATTCTCGACAGTTATTTTCTATTTACAAAAAACATTGGCATGATCTGTACTTATTTTAACGTTCTGCTATTCCCCTAGAAGCCCTTATTTTTTAGCAGTTCACATTTGCTTGTTTTCATGGTCAAAAATGATTTTTTCAGGTGAAACTAATGTCAGAGTGGAAACCTACAGACTCTCTTAGGGGAAGAGGATGTACTTGTGTAGACAGCTACAAAGATGGCCCCAGTGACCCTTGCCTCCCAGCATTCCTGCCCTATGCACCCCTTTCCCTTGAGTTTGGTGTGGATGTAGTTACTCACTACTTTTTAAGTATGTAAATGTCTTATTATTAATTCAAAACGATCACATTAGTTGCAATTTACTTAATAGTTTTTGAAGTGCACAATTAACCATGTGCATGCTCTTACTTTCAGCTGCTTGATTTCACTATGTCATGATTCACTTTTAATGACTAGAAGCCATGAATGCAGAAGCCATGGCATGTGACTTCTGAGATGAAGATATTTTAAAAGATGGTGGTTTCCTCTTGGGCCTTTGCCTTTCCTGTTCTGTCTTTGATTGCTTGCCCTGGTCTACTGCCTTATAGTAGGACAGCCTGTGAAGAGGCTCACACAAGGAGGACCAAGGCTGCCAACAACTACTCCTGTCATCCTGGGAATGGCCCCTCCCTCCGGGGTTGAGCTTTAAGCCCTGATTGACAGCTTGACTGCAGTCTCTAGGGACCAGGAGTGCCTAGATCTTGTAGAAACAGTAAGAAAGCACACATTCGGCTGTGGAGTATTGGAACAACTGTTATACAGCAATAGATAACTAAGACAACTGGCACCTCCACTTTGGGGAAGGAATGGTCATTTCTGAAATAAAATAGAAGAGCTAAAATGTTGCATATTTTTAGTGCTATCTTCACTCCTTCTACCTCCTCTGCTTAGGCACAGCCTGGGGAGCCTGGAGCAGGCTTCCCGTTGAAGGTCTGGAGGTAGGCCCCGTCGACACACGCTGGAGAGGTGCTGGGAAGAGACATGGCCCTCAAGAAAGGCAAGAAGGGTGGGTCTCAGAAGCCTGCCAGGATAAGGAGCTCGGGCTGGGGATTTTGTGTTTTTGAAATTCTATGGTCCTTATAAAATTGGAGGGTTTCTGAGAGGCAGGGATCCTTAGAAAAAATACCAGAAAAAAATACCAAGCTCTTTGCTGAGCTTGGGCTAAGTTTTCCATGCATGAATAGAGATATTTGTTTAGACTCCCCTGAACTACATAAAGCTAAGCCCAAGCTAGGAGCGGGCAGCGGAGCAGATTGAGAGTTTCCGAAGGCCAGGCTTCACCCAGGCTCTCAGGAGTAACTGAGAATGCTGGATCCCAGCACAGGGCAGCCTTCAAGTGTGCAGGGCCAGTCATAGCATGCATGGGTGAGGCTGGGCCATGGTGACCACTGGGCGACTGCTGTGGCTGCAAAGCTGTTAGATGTGGTGGACACCTAGTCAGCTGACTAGGAGGGTTCCCTCTGTGACACAGGTGGGCCTCTCTGGAAGAGCACAGATGGGGCCTTCTCAGAGAAGGAACTCTATCTCTTGACTACAGCCCAGAAATTCTTTTGGCTTTTAATTCTCTGTTAAATTAGTCCATGTTTGGAGTTCACAGTGATTACAAGCATCATGTACAGCTGGCGCATAACAAATCTTAACTGTTTTTCTTTCCTCACACCTCAACTCCTGGCTCCTCCAACCCTTTGGTCCCTTCCCATTTACAGAAACTCAGTTTCTATTTTCTTTCTTCAATTCCTTTTTTTTTAAAATCCTCCCTCCAGGGCTGGGGAGATAGCTCAATGGTCTAAGCACCTGTGTGGTAAGCACAAGGACCCAAGTTCAATTCCTGGTATGGCATGCCATGCTGGCCCCAGAACTGGGCATGGTGGCACATGCCTGTAATCCCTCCTGAGACAGGAGGATCACTATGAGATTGAGCTGCATTGCAAAACCCTGTACCAAATATACAAATAAATGTTTTAAAAATAAATCCCCCCACGTTATCCTCCTCCCCTACTTCCACTGCTTATTTACTTTCCCATTTAAGAAAGATCTCTATACTTCCTAAGACCTGTCTTTTAATTTGCTCTTTATTCACATTTTGGGTTCCTCATATGAGAGAAGCCATGTGATATTTGAATTTGTGCCTGATTCATTTCACATGGCCTCACATTCATGCACCTATAAATGCCTTGAGTATATCCTTCATTCCAGCAAAATAGTACTTCACTGTGTATAAATACCACATTTTATTTATCTATTCCTTTGTTAATTAGGCCTATAAACTGTCTCCAAGATGTAGTTATCATAAATTGTGCTGCTATAAACTTGCCTATGCATATATCACTGTAATATGATGACTGTAATTCTTTCAGGAAGCTATGTAGGAGGGGAAGAGCTGGGTCAAATGGAATTTCTATTTTTAGTTTTCCTGAAGAATATCCATACTGAATTTCATAGTGGTTCTATCAGTTCACATTCCCACCATCAAAGTAGAAGGGTTTCTTTTTCCTCACAGCCTGTCCAGCATTAGTTACTATTTGATTTCTTGGTGTCAGCCATCCTTTCTTAAGATGAAATCTCGTTTTAATTTGTATTTCTTTAACATCCATCCAGGGCTGTCAAATATTTTTTCATGTATTTATGTGCCACCTGTACTTCTTCTTGTGAGAAGTGTCTATTCATTTTGTTTGCTCATTTTTTAAATTGGGTTTTTGATTTTGCAACATAGAAATTCTGCCTGAGTTGCTGGCCTTCATGCTCAAGTGTATACCTGATGATGTGCGACTGACTTAAGCATATCTCTCATGGTGTTGGCTCTACTTCTCTGCAGAATTCTAATAGTAAATTACACATCATTAATGACCCTCTGTCCAGCTGAACTCTCCCTGCACCTCCTCTGGGAAGCTGCCCTGGACACTTCACTTCTACAGCATTACCTGAGGGGTTTGATGCAGCTCTGAGGCCTCTCCTGAGTGAATCTGCCCACCATAGGCAGGACCAGGGCTTGCATTTTACAGCCTCATTGGCACAGGTAGTACTTGGCACACAGTAGATGCTCAGTCTTGAACTCGTGACCAGTTTGCCTGTGGTTCAGGGCAGCCTGCATAGCCTACTGAAGTCCCACATGTGATGAGGTACAGCAGGAAGGGGCTGAGGGTCTTCCTCAGCACATGCATCTTTGAGGAGGCTCCAGGGCCCTTTCATGCAACCAAGGAGAGGCCCTTTGTTCCCTCTGTAGAGGAAGGCAAACTGACCTCCAGGATCCTGCACTGGTGGGCAATCTGTCCCCAAGAAAAAAGGAATCTGCACCTCTAACCAAGCACCCCCAGGCACAGTCACACAGAGTTGGGGACTGTGACCATGTGGGCGAGGGGGGTGCGTACATTAGGAGGACAAGTGCTGAACTGGAGACACCAGGAAAGCCAGGAAGGGTCACAGGCTAAGGTGCCATCATCTGCTCCCTCTGCTCATGGTGAGCCCTGACTTCCTCACATAGTTAAGTCCTTGGGGAGGTTCCCCTCAGCATCTTTGAGGCCTGGTTCATAGGCTTTAAAGAGCAATGCCAGCCGCTCCCTGTGCTTCTTCCTGTTTCAGGTTTCAGGAGCCTTTGTGCCTCTGGCATCTGGAGCCTGGACAATGGAACGCCAAGCATGACAACTGCCTACCCCATGGGGCCACGAGCGCCTCCACAACCCCCCAGGTCATCACTTACCACCAGCCAGCCGGTTCTTAAGAAAAGGACAACCCCAAAAATGTTGATCATGCAGGATGTGAACACACCATCCCAGGTCCCAAACAGCACTGGCTCCCACATGAACAGCTGGATCTTCCACCATGGCTGGGGGTGGGCCAGTGTCCCCTGCAACAGAGTACCCTGAGGTCAGTGGATTGGCCCTTGGGAGAACACCAAGGGGAAGAGAGGGGAGGGAAGGGAGGAAGGACAGGAAGGGACAGGACACCAGCTGACCAAAACTCCCACCTGTGCCAGGACAGCTGTGTACACACACACACACACACACACACACACACACACACACACACACACAGTACTGACTCCACAACAGAATCACTGCTCTCCCCTAAGAGTTGGGATTGCTGTATTGTAGCTAGAGTACTGAATACTCCAGAGAGTATTCAACGGATTTGGTGCTGCAGACCCCTTAGGTAGACACATTGCCCAGGTGCCGCACGTGTGGTCATGAGATGGTTCTTGACAGTGAGGCCTAGCTTATGTTTTTGAGTGAATGTGGGATTCTTTCCCCACTGAGGCAGAGGTCAGGGCTTCTGGGTAAGGCTGCTCTGTCCTCAGTCCTCCAGACAAGCTGGGAGGGCAGCTTTCTGCAATACTAATCTGTAGGTGACACCTAAACACCACTGGGGTCAATCTTGGGCATTAGATTCCTTCTGTTTAACACACCTTATATTCTCTGAACCCTGACGGGTGACCCCAGTGCCTCCTTTCCTTCCATAACCCTAGCATTTTAAAGCATCAGTGGGCAGAAGCTAATCACTTGTTCAACAGATTTTCTGCTCATTTTTCCAAATCAAAAATAACAAAGGCATTTGTAAGCACTTGAGTGTAAACCCTTTATTAAAAAGACCACAAGCTTGTAGAAATACTAAAATATCTTACACACAACGAGTAGCAACTCTTTCTGTGAAGTGCTCTTGCACAGGTTGAGTAATGAATCCGAATTCAGGCCTTTTAGTGGCGTCTAACCCACTCCACTGCTGCAGCAGGAAGTAATGATTCCTAAGAGTGTAGGGCGAGTAGGTGAGAAGGTACCCAGCTGAGGGTCAGTCGTACAGCGAGTTTGAGACTGGGGAGTGCTGCTGTTTGTGAACACCCTGAGAAGGCAAAGAAACCAAGAGTCCAAGAAGAGCTCTCAGAGCTAGCGCAGGGCCACAGCACCACCATGGCCGAGGACAAGCACACACCTGTGATTTGGGACCAAGGCTGCACCAACTGCATTGGCTCTAAACAAAAGGAGAGGAGCCCAACAAATCCTCCTCCCCCCACTCTCAGAGATGGGGGAAGCCAGGAGAAAGGTGGCTACTGGAAGCCAGGAAATATACCAACCTGCAGTTATACAGACTCTAGAGCACAATGGGGTGACTGTTGTTCACAGCAATTTAATAGGAATTTCCAAGTAACTAGAAGAGAAGACTGAAGTTTCTCAACCCAAAGAAATGGTAAATGTTTGAGGAGACAAAAAATGCTAATTATCCTGATAGACTCACTACACACTGTATACATGTACTGAATTATTGTATTGCACACACCATATAGGAAGAAAGGAAAGGAAGAGGGAAGGAGGAAGACAGGAAGGAAAGGGTCTCAAGAAATAACCAGGTGCGCAGGGAGCGAGCCTCGATGCCCAGCACCACATGCCATGTTGGCCTGGCCCCCTGGGCGTGCTGAGCCAGCCACTGAGTCTGGGTGTGGTGGCACACACCTATAATCCCAGAACTGGGGAGGCTGAAAACAGGAGCATCACCATGAGTCTGATTTGTGTATTGAGACCCTGTACCAAATGCATAAAAAAGAAAAGAAAAGAAATAATCAGGGGCATGAATTAAGCCACTAAACAGAGAAGTAGGGACTCTTTGCTGTTTCTGTCTGTCCAAACTGCTATGTTGTCAGTCCTAGGAGGAGCTTTTTTGATCTATTTACAGTTATCTTTCACAAATCACAAATGCGGGACCTTCAAAGAGTCTATAAATATTACAATAGTCATCATGGCTGAGAGCAAAGGCCGACAACCTATGCCAAACTCAAACAAATGGCACATAGAGATCCGCCCAGTGTGCCTGATTATTTTCTAGGATCCTTAATCTCACAGTTCCAGATACGGCCTGACTTCCCACCTCCACTTTGTTAGCTTCCTTTCGGGGATCCTGACAGGACCACTGTCCTCAGAAGCAGTGATCACAGTGACCATCAACCTCCAGGAGTGATAGTTTAGTCTTCCGCGTTTCCTGGCCAGAAGGGTCAAAAGCACTGTTGGACAGTGGAGTGGAACTAGAGGTTGGCAGAAGTAAAGGAGAGGGACCCTGCCAAGAGCTAAGGAGTCACCCGGATACCTGATGTCACAGGGCTGGGGCTCCACCCAGCTTGTAAAATGCATGCTCTTTACTGCATGGCACTTACCTAGAGGTTGCTTGTCCTTCTCTCCCTTAATTTTAAGTCTTTCAAGTTTTGACTTCTAACATTCCAGACCTACCTGTGCACGCAACTGCCTCCCCTACGAAGTGCCCTCTGATTCTTTCTGCCCTCCACTCTGAGGCTATTTTGTTTACCTCTCAGCACGCAGAAAGCCTTTTGCATCCTTTGCCTTGTTGGTCTGCACAGTCAGCCCTAAGGAGTCTGGGCTTCTACAGCAGGTAGACTGGTGAGGAAGCTCTGTCCTAAGCATAAAGAATAACTGGTTTGAAATCTGCTTGTTTCAGGGCATCTCACAGCCACCTTCCTTTCACCCTATGGTGCCAAGAATGTAACTAAGCCTCCCTGTTCACCAGAGGCTGGCCAGCAAGTGCCAGGGTTTGACCCCACATTGCAACCCCAGTGCTCTTGGAGATAGGAAAACACCACATGAACCCAGTAGGAGACAGGAGAGAAAGAAGAAACAAGAGTGCAGAGAAGGTGAAGGAGGGAGAGACAGAGGATCTGCAGGGCCATCTCCCAGGCCTTCCCAGAAATCGACAGGCTGCCTGTCAGGCCCAGCCTGAGGCACTCCCTTGGGTGTCTCCATTCCTTGTGCTGCCTTACTACCTACCTACATCAGGCTGTTTGGTCTTGAGCCACTGCTCACAGTTAACTTTAGGAAAGGTCAGTCTAGAGTGCTCAGGTGGCCACACTGCTCAGCGACTGTCCTCCAGATGGGCTGAGGGGTGTCATGTGCCACACAAGTTGATCCCAAAGAAGGCAGAATATCCCTGTCCCCATCCATATGCATGCTTTCTCTGTGATTTTCCTGCATCTTGTCCCCACCTCCTTCCTTTATGGCCAGGGAAGGAATCTCCTTTTTCCTTAAATCCACCACTCAGCAAAGCCTGTGGTATTCAAGATGCCAACCCAGCCAACTTCTAAGGCCTGCAGGAGGAGAGAGTGCAATGGCTGGAAGGGGACTGGGAAAAATCAGGCCATTTCTGGGCTACCTTGCTATGCCCAGGGGCCTAGACCTGGTCCCAGCTGTCAGTAGCTGCCTTTAGAACCTAGTTGTGCTCAGATATGAACCTCAGGCATCAATTCCAACAGAGGAAGAATTACATTCAATGCTCTACCAAGATGCAGAGGCTGGAGGAAGGGAGGTTGGCAAGAGGGCGCACACAATGCCCAGCACAGGCTTTACTGGGAAGGAGAAACTCAGGCTCAAGAGGATGAAAACAACAAAGCAGCCACTTGGAAAGGGCACTGTGAAGCCTGACCGGAGGCCAGGGGCCTCTCTCCTGAGGACCTCTGGCCTGCAGGGCTAGCTCCACTAGGAGCTGACCCCAGAACCATCAGGCTTTAGTCTGTTACTGCCTGAGTTCTACTGTCCAAGCATGCAGGAAAAGAAGCTAGGCCTGGCCCACTGCACCCCAGGGCCCATGGCTAACACCAGGGAAGCCATGATTGGGCAGCTGTGGGCATCCAGCTCTATGAGAACTGTCCTCCTCCTGTGAACAGAGGTTCTCCAAACAGCAGCAGGCTCTGAAAGGCACCAGATTCCATTTTGTGCCTGGCAAGCCAAGCTGAGCAAGAAACGAGAAGATCTTGCCAGGGGCCCTGGTGGAGCTGAGGCCCAGCAGGAACCTTTTGCTCTGCCGATCACCTGCCAGGCCTTAATGAACACATGGAGAAGTGAAATGACACCTCTTCTCTGGCAGCTGGAGGAGAAGGCAGGTGAGAAGCTCCACTCTGCCTACCCAGGTCGGGAGTAGGTTGCAGCAAAGCATAGCCTGCCCCAACCCCTTGCCCTCAGAGTACGCTGCGGGGCTGCTTCTGCCCAGATCACACTGCACACTCAGGAGCCACAGTTTGCCCTCTGAAAGTCAGTTGTGTAATTATTAGTTGTAGACATCAGAGAGCATACCCCATGCTGTGGCTGAAGGGCGAGGCTGTGTGCAGGCTTAGGGATTCATTCTGCTTTCCTGGCTCTGAAAAGGCACCAGGTGCTGGACCACAGTGACCAAGGGTTGGGTGTGGGGCTGGTTAGCTTGGGGATGGGGATGGGGTAGGAGGGAGTGGTATACCTTCTGGAGTACCTAGGAGAATGTGCCCAGCCAGGCACCTGTGCCACAGGGCTTGTAACATTTAGATGAGATGCTAATTAGGAAAGCTTTGCATAAACTGGAAACACCACACACAATGCTAAACGTGGGTGAGGATCTCTGCAGGAAAGCTGGAAGGCACACAGAGCAAAGAGGCCTGACTGATTGCAGTTTCCATTGCCCTGCCAGCTTGTCCTTGGGTTAAGGACGGGTCTGCCTCTGCCTTGCTCACCCCTGGCAGCACAGGCCACGGAAGTGTGCTGTATAGAAACCCATGCTCAGGTGTGGACATCCATGAGTCGCTGCCAGCCCCTGGTGGGGACAGGGACCTGCTTCCACCCTTCCCCTCAGCATGAACTCATCTCGGCAGTGCTGGTCTCTCCTGCCACAGATCCAGTGGGAAAGCCTGTGTCAAAGTCCCACAGTTCCGCGTGAGTGACTGCTCTCAGAACACTGTGCGTCCCTACCCATGTCAAAGCCCACAGCTCTCTCTGGGTCACAAATGGGTGACTCAGTAGCACAGTCCCAAGAGAGCCAGGACCCTTGAGGCCCTGACAGTGTTGATGTCAACATGGAAACCCTAAGGGTTCCGCCTCCCGGGACAAG